GGGAGATAAGAATGTGTCATCAGCGTATGTGATCACGTGATGGGTCGAGACAAAATAGCAAGCCAATAACACACAAGATTCAAAAGGAAAACCCCCAAATTAAATCTTATAAATTAGAATTTGCATTGACATGCCATATCTTCAAACTATACAAGATAAACAAAGGATAAAAATACATTTACATTATTGCTTTACATTCAGTTATGGCTGAAGTTACGCTGATTATTTGCCAGAAAAAATACTTTTTTAATGGCCTTTGGACCTCGATTCTAATGTTGGTGGGGCAGATGGTAAAACAGTAGTAATGATGTTATTGATTATATTATTCCCAGTTGGTTTACTGTTTAAATGCTGATGTTTTAGGTGGGACAGACACACTCAGCTTATGCTGGATGGCAATGAGATGATGGAAATAATATATCTCCCAGCAGTCTGTAGTCCAAAACAAAACAAACACACATCACACACACGTCAATAGGTAGACACTGTGCTGTGACAGGATATTTTCACCACTTCACCATACTTGACTCTGCATAGTTTAATTTTTAATGAAATATTATCTATATTGCTCTGAATACTTTATTTTTGCAATATTGCTTTCATTTCGCTGGTTGACAACTACATGCATCTTTCTTCAGGTACCTATCGTGAGTTACTGTTTTGAAGCTTCGAGTTTGGTGTTATGGTCGTTGCCATGACGCATACCCTGCTTTATGATCTATTTTACTCTAAATGGGACCATCATTTACTAAATGAACATCATGCTGTATGGAAGAAGACTGAAACTAGAGACCTGAGACTGAGACGCAGAGACTCGTCAGGAAACTGTTTACTAAGCTTATATATCCAAGTGAGAAGTTGGCTCATTCTCCATAAGACTGAATGGTATCAGTTTATATTGCAGCCAGTGGAGCTGCCCCCTGCTGGCTGTTACACAGAATGCAGGTTTAAGACACTTCACAGACCCAGAAGATCTGTCCACTAGTTATATTCAGTCAATGATTGTTAATAATTATTAACTCAAAGCTGGATCTTTGTTTTCTTCCATAAGGGAGGACTGATCATGAAGGGAAGACTAAGAACAAGAAGGCTGGAGAGGCTCTGCAGACCTCCAGTTAAAGCTCCAGTAGGGATTCAGGTCCCGGACCCGCCTACACCTCTGCTCGCTTTGTCTGCCCACAGGAATTCCACACAATCACTTCCCATTCACTCGGAAGAAAAGGATCCTTTTAACGTCATTAACTCAAATCTGCCTCGCACTGAACGGGAGCCTCGTTTACGGCTCAAACACCACGAAACTGAGACTACGAAGACTCAACTGGTCTCCACTCAGCTGATTGCCTCTTCACAATGAATACAGTCGCTTGGTGAGGTTCTCTCCAGTTTCAGAGTCAGCAAGTCCGACTTCAGGGGGTGTTTCCAGCTGAAATTTCCAACTGGGATACTCAGAAAGAAATTCCCACTAATTTTCCAGGACCCTTCTAGGACCTTTTCCAGAGGTTTTCTTGACAATACAGGACAGCACTTGCTCACAAACAGTCGGTAGGATATCTGGTCATTTTAATCCAGTTCCAGGTGCTTCCGTGACTGGAAAAGTAGACTCTAATTTTCCAGGTTTCCCAGAATACGTGGAAATCCTGGGAATGCACCAATAGTTGGAGGACCGAGGGGTCAATGGGGGCAAACAGCTCGTTTTTGCCCCTAGTGGGCTAGTATTGTGTTTTTTACTTTTTTCACTTTTTTTTTTACAAACATTACAAACAGAAAGTAGCTCATTAATTGTTTAGAAAAGCGTTTCAAGTTTAGAAATTTAAATTTAAAAGAGGGAAAAATTTTGAATTTATACCCTGAATGATCACATTAAGGTCATATTCTGAAAAAAAAACATGAAATATTCTTATTTCAGCCTAATAACATTAACAAACAGTGATAAAAATGAGCCTCTTCAGCAGATCTGCGCACTTACAGGACAACACAGGCTGCTCTGTTGTTACCAACACGCTAATGGCTTTAAAATAGCTGCTGGTACCTGTGATATCAGATTTCTCTGTACAGGTAGAAGCTACATCTGCAGTGTGATTGACAGATTGTCATTAATATCCCATCAGTGCAGCAGACGGACCGCCGTTATCTATTATTTACAAAAGGATTACGGGACTGTGTTTCCCAGAGTTCAACTCGTATAAAGATGGTTAATGTGTATCTGTGAACCAGAGGCCTCTCAGTTCAAACAACCTTTATCATCACATGTAAACTGTTTCTATAATGCAGTTCTCCCTTCCTAAGCCCCGCCCCTTTTTGCTCTGTGCTCCAATCACAGTTGAGAAAGCCTCAACTTCCTGCTTTCTGGTACTTAGATATGCTATATACTAAGCTAATCTATGTTGGAAATACAACCACATTTTGAGATGATAATGTAAAAGAGAGGTTCAACACTGCGTCAGTCTCTGCAGCAGCAACCTCCATCAGGAACCATCAGAAACATGGAGGACGGGAGGAATCTTCCACCCAGTCTGAGCTGGTACTGATGTTTGTTTCAGGCCTTAAACACATCAGCAGCTCCAGACATAAACTGTGTATCTAACAGTCCTCCATCTTATCTCAGCATGTGAGAGAAAGCAGCTGCACAGAGATGTCCCTTCAGGCAGCTGAATCGTCCTCCTCCTCATCTTTCTCCTTCCTGTGCGGTTAGAACATGATAGAAGAGCTGAGACTGGAGATATATATATATATATATATATATATAAGGCCAGAGGCAGATTGTTCCTCATTTAAAGGAGGATCTATTAAACATGAATATTCATAGGAATGTTTTTATTAATGTTTAATCATTAAGAATCATTGTGTTTTTGTTACCTGAGAATGTTTTTATCTACAGAGGGAGCGGGTCTTCTTTTGGCAGAGTCCGCCTTGTTTCTATGGCAGCCCAGAACAGACAAACCAGACCCTTGATCTAGATAGGGGAGTTTGCGTTTTTTGTGAGTTTTGCAGCCACCGTAGTTTCTCATAAACACTTGGAGTTGTCATGGCGTCTATCTTTATATGTGGATGGATAACAGTTTAAATCTGTTCACTGTCAGAGCTCTGAACAGCAGCCGATGGAAAAAACCCAAAGAAAGTTGAAATAATTCAAACTGAGGGTGAGAACATAAACAGACTGAAGAGGAAATGACTCTACTGGAGCAGATCATAAATCTCTAGCAGCAACCAGCAGCAGAGAGTCTCTGAAAGATAGAAAATATCTGAGTTTGAGATGAAATAAGAGCCGAGGAGGAACGCGGTGCCGCTCCGCTGCCTCTGTAAAGACCTGGAGGGTTTCAGCTCAGACTTCCTCCAGGGAAACGCATGACTGACGGCAGCATGTGGGTGAAAGGACGGACGCTCTGCGGCCTCAGCAGGTATCCAACTTCAGAGAGGACGCCTGCAGAGCCGAAGACACTCGAGCTTCATCACAGAGCAGACAGGAAGTCTTTTGTCTGAGCGGGACAAGCTTACAGCTAACAGCTAGAAAAATCAAAAAAACATATTTTTCTGTTTTGCTATTTATCCATCAATGTTTTGGAGGTTTCAACCTTCTCTCCAATATTATTATTTTAATAATGTTGTTGTTTTTTTTTTGGTTGTTTTTTTAATTATTATTATTATTATTATTATTATTATATAAACTCTTTGCACGAATACTGTTTTTATTATTTCTATTATTGTACATTTTTCTGTTTAATTAACTGAACTTATAATAAACTTTCATTATTTAGTAATTATTTACACTAATTTTTATTATAATATTTTTTTTTTCTTTTTTTCTTTACCTCATTTTCTTTATTAACTTATTTAGTAACTATTTGCACTTTTGAAAACTTACACTGAAAAGTAACCAACAAAGAGTATAAAGAAAAAAGAAGTTGTGTCTCCATGTTGGACGTCTCTGCTGTATAACATGTAATAAACACACGTACAGTTTCACATCACGTGTCCTCCTCAGTGGAAACTGACATCACACATGTCCGACCCCTGAGATCATCGTTATCTGTGTGAGAACAGCGGAGGGAGGAAACCCGCTGAGCTCCGACAGCTGGTTTCTGAGAACAGATGTATTGGATCTATACGTTCCAGATGTGCTGACTCCACGAGGAACGCTGGGCTTCCTGTCCAGGACTGAGCGTACCAGCGTCTGGAGCCGAGCCAGCAGGTTTCATTTCATAATCCAGAGTGTTTCCAAAAGCTCAGTGTCACTCTGAATGTGAGAGCACTGATAATGACTGAGCACACCCCAACAGGGTGTCTCTCCTTTTGGGGGGGTGGGAGGGTGAGACAGAGACACTTAAAAGAGGGGGTGGGTTCGCTTTATGGACCACAGACTCACAGCGACCAGTTAGAGCTTCACACTGTGGGAAAATACAGCATACATCACAAACTCTTGCTGTTTGGACGAACACCAACAAACATATCCGGCTTTATTTTAAACACGATGCATCTTCTCTAACTTTTTACACCTCAGAAAACATTATACTCTCCAAGTGCCGACATTATGACCGACATAGCTTCTTAAAACCTGCAACAGTTTTGTTTTAATCTCTGTTTTAATTGCTGAAAACATTCCTGATGATGTCTGATTGGATTTGATTTGATAGATTTAAAAACTTTTCTGTTTTGGTTTTAATCTGTTTTAAGCTTTATTGCTGAAACACGTATTAATACATAGGACAGAAACAGCCTGCAGTCTATGGAAAGGGAAGTGTGGGGTTTGGATTAAAGAGACGATCCACCCAGCCAGATCAGTGAGACCAGTTCCACCACGACTGCTGCTGCTGCCCCAAGAGGAGAGGAAGAGAGCCGGATAGGATAGCTTGGACTTCAGGCTGCTAATGTTCAGTCTCTTTTAATCTTTATCTATGTGTGCAGCATGAAGGACTGAAAACTCATTTCATTATTAAACTTAGTGTGTAATTATAAATACATTCCCCTGATTTCTTTTCCTTAAAGTCAAACTGACAACCGCAGTCTCAAAAGAGAAATACAGGACTGTGTCATCAGCATACAGTGTTTCATCTGGTCATTGATTTATTATTGTTATTATTAACCTTTATTTAAAAGGGTAAAAGACAAGAAGGATGCAAAGGTAAAGTCAGACTGACAACCTCAGAAGAGAGAGCAGAGGACTGCGTCATCAGAAAGCAACCAGTCAGTAAACATAACATAAATAATCTTATTGATGATAGTTAATTATGATTAAAATAATGGTGAATTAAAGGTAATCTCCACAGATGTATGAACATCTTCATATTCTCACCTGTTGGATCCTGAATGTAGCTGCAGATCCTCTCTCATATATCAGTGCCCCCCCCTCACTCTCCATCCCCTTCACTCACACAAATACAAAAGACCCTCTGCTAATGTAATTGTATCACTAATTATGCATTTAATTCAGTTATAAGGAGCTAACAGCTCCCTCAGTGGCGGCTCTCGCTGCTAAAAGGCAATTCATCCCTGAGATTGAGAAATCTAATTAAGAGGAAATGCTTAGCAGAGAAATCCTTTCTGAGGATAATCCTGTTTGCTGGCATTAACATCCCAGCTGCTGTGAGTGTGAGTGTGTGTGTGTGTGTGTGTGTGTGTGTGTGAGTGTGTGTGTGAGCATCATCCTCCACCACAAACATCTGTTTTCCTGCTGCAGGCCGACGCTCGTGTGACCTTCTGAGAGTCTGAAGATCAGTGTGTGTGTTCAGTGTCTGAACCTCCTCCGGCCTGCAACACCATGTCAGAAATATAGAATATATATAATCTGTCTCTATACATATATATAATCTGTCTCTATATTAAATTATAATCAGGGCCCGAGCAGTAAAGTTCTGTGAAGGCCTTTTTGAAGCATTTTGCTAAAATTAGCTAATTTAAGATGTGACTA